GACCTTTGAACTTTGACCTTTAGCCACCAAGGTCTAATCAGTTCATCCTTGAGTCCAGGTGCATCTGCTCCTTGAGTCAGAGACGAGACTCTCTCAGTGTCGTTAACCTCGTGCTGCTCATGTCTTCTTCTTCTTCATGTGACTCAGTTATTCACACATGAAATCAACATTTAAAATCAGCCACGTTTGAAAGGAACTTGATTTGTTTCCTTTATCGTGCCTCTTTTGTCTCTTTTAACGTGGAGTGATGGGCTCGCTCTTACCTGGCTGGCGAACGGCGGTGGCACCCACGAAGCTGATGAGCGTGACGTCCGAGGCGCCGCCAGACTCCAGGGGGATCGGGTGCACCCGGAAGTGCTCCAACATGTCGAAGATGGACTGGAACCAGAGGTGCTGCACTCGACACTGACCGTCCTCGTTCAGCGACAGACGCAGGTGCTGAGGGGAGGAAAGTCAGACTCAACGTTGAACAGACGTCGTTATTTCCCATTAGACACTTTAAATTTTCAATAAGTTTTGGAGTTATCAAATTATGCAACGGCTTTCTCCATTTATCACAGAACCGTTCTTCTATAAAATGTTACAAAGATGCTTAAAGGACCATTTAAGTGCCGTTTGATTGATATTGACATATTGTGTTATTACTGTTGCTCATGGAGTTAAAACTAAACTGCTCTTATTTTGATTTTAATGTTATTACTGATGTTAATTTCATTATATATATTTTCAATCTATTAGTTCCTCCTCATTTTTATGTTCATTTTGTATTTTTATAATTTTGTGATGTTTCAACATTGTGGAGGGTTTTTTGCTTCTCACTCTCTCTTTTTAAATTCAGTATCAGTCTGAATCTGATGCTTCATATTTTGTTCTGAAGTCATGTGAGAAAATGTTGGACGGATGTAAAGTTAAAATTCCTGAAACAAAGCTTCTACTCTGCAACTCCAATCAGTAATATACCCAGAGCTCAAATAATTAGCCAATTAATGGATTAGTCTCTATAGAGAAGTTTTGGTTCACTAATATTTGAAGCAAAGATTCGCTGGTTGCAGCTTCTCAAACATAAAGATTCACTCTGTTTTACATTTTAGTACAAAGACGTTTTCCTGGACTGTTGGTCAACGACCTTTTAAGACCTTTTCACTATTTTCTGGCATTTTGAAGATCAAATAATCGATCGATTTATTGAGAAAACTACCTGCTAAATAATCATGAGATGCAGCTTTAAATATGTTACAGACCTGGTTCAACAGAAACTAAACTTTAGCTTTTCAACTCTTGAAATAGATATTACACTTCATTACAACTTGGGTCTAGTTCTGTCTTTACCCCGACGTTCTCCCAGTCCCAGACTCACCTTGGCTTTGCCCTGGAAGTTAAAGGTGAGGACATATTCTCCGCGCCGCGTCTCGCTCTGGCGAACCAGAAAGACGCCGTGGCTCGCCGGGCCTCCGGCCAGCACCAGCTGAGCAGCTTTGAGGCGGGACAGGGTGCCGTGAAACCACTGACACTCGCTGAGGGGGTGCTCCACCGTCTCGGCAGACGTCACCTCAGAGAACAGGAAGGACCCTACAAGAGTGAGGGGTAAATATGACACGTAGAAAACTAACGCTTTCCAGATTCTAAAGATCAATCCTGAGCAACGATACTGCGAAATAACCACCAACAAGCCCTTTAATTCCCTACAACATGGGAAGAAGACCACAGTTTTGGTGCAACAGTTTGTACTGCATGGTATTCACCTGTGGCATCTGGCGTCTCGGCGAAAGGTGTGCCCAGACTAGCTCCGCCTCCCCCGAGAATCCGGCCGTCTGGTTCGTCGAGAGGAGCACGAGGCGGCAGCTCCGGCGGGAGAGGATCCATCAGAGGTGAGGAGCCTCCGATGCCTCCGTAACACACTGACACAGGGACAGCAGAAGATCCCACACGGTTACTTATACTAACATGTCAGTGTATTTATTAATAATCAATAGATCAGGAACTGGTCTAGTGGACGGACAGATTGCCAGGAAATTTGCAGGACATGAGAATAAAACACCAGGACGTGACTCCAGCTGTTTGTTCGTAGCCTACAGCGGCTTTATCACAACTTTTAGACCATGACTCCAAAAACAAACATATCATTAATTATCCTGTTATTAATTATCCTGTTATCAATTATCCTGTTGTTAATTATCCTGTTATTAATTATCCTGTTATCAATTATCCTGTTGTTAATTATCCTGTTATCAATTATCCTGTTGTTAATTACACATTATGCTGCATTTTATGTTTCAGAGATAAATGGAGAATGTGTGTCGACTTTTACACTTGTGTCACTTTTCACACCTTGTGAAAGACGGTCAACGATCTCAGGAGTTCCACTGATGTCTAACGGGCCCCCACACACACCTTCAGCATCTTCCTGTTCACTGTGGGGAGGGGGGGGCAGTTAAAACCCAGACACACACCTGTTGGAAATCCTATTAGTCATCAACAAAAGGTACAGCAGCTTTTACCTGAGACAGATGCCGTTCCTGATGTCACTCAGCCAGGCTCTCATCTGAACAGCGTCTCGTGTCTCGATCACATACTGCGCCGAGCCGTCGAGCTGGGGGGGGGGGGGGGCAGAAAAGAAGTAAAACTTCAGGGATAAAGCTTTAGATTGGACAGTGGACAGTTATGTGACCAGCTGGTTCATCTTCACTGACTCACTGTCAAACGTCAGAATCTTCTTTTTACTTGTATTTTCAGGTTATTCCCTAAAGTTGGACACGAGTGTTGTATTAGTTTTAGCTAGGTGTTCCTAATAAACTGAGGACTGAGTGTCCGTTTGTACATCGGTCCTCAGACGCAGCTGTCCCGTCTTCACCGGGCTGAGGAACATCAAATATTTACTGGACAAAAATAGTTTTACAGTGGCTCCATGAGCAGGAAGAAAACCGCACTGATTTTATTTCAGGCTTTGTTCGTGTTGTTCATCTGCGCGCTGAAGCTCTGCACGACCAGACTGACTAAAGGTTTGGTTAATGAGTTGACATGTTGTCTGTGGAGGTGGCAGAGAAATAACAAACAGGCACAAATGAAGAGTGTAAAAATATGTTAAGTCTCTAAGAGTCTGTAGCCGAGAGGTCACAGTAACACGCCACGGAACTGCAATGTCCGCGGTTCAACTCCACTTTTATAATTTCATGTCTTCCTCTCTTTTGTCCCAAAAAAAGAAAAACTAAACGCGGCCGATGTGGATTACCCTCCACTCAGCCGAAGGAGCGATTACCTGCAGCAGAAAGGTGTTCTCCTTGTCGGGGACCTCCAGCGCCGTGGTGCTCCTCACATCCACGATTGAGCAGCAGGGGACAGTCAGCCGGGGCTTCGACGACTGAGGAGACAAACCGGGCAAAATCAATAACTGGTGTTTCTCCTTTATAGTTTAACACTTAGCGATCAATACAAAAAAACAATAAGGAGGCGATGAGCTCTGAGCGTTCACTGCTCCAAGAAACAGCCCTGCACATAAAAACACAACCTGTTGTTTTTAGACTTCAGTTTCAGTAGAGAGATCCAGTCCAGCTGCTTTTACCTTTATTTAGTTTTATGCCTCATTTTGTATCTTTAGTTTTCTAGCTTTAAACTTTTAATGTTACTTATTGAAACTGTGCATCTGTTCTTCTTGTATTTCTGCTGCTGCTGACGCTTCTTCTTCCCTGTGTGGGATCAATACAGTTGATTTAATCTCCTCTTTTACAAGCGCTAGAACAAATCTACCAACTGAAACATCTGTCAACGTGTTCTGTCGTTTCACGGGAGGGAAACACTTACCTTGGGTGGAATGAAGAATTCCAGGTAGTACTCCTCTCCCCGCTCGCCACCCTCTCTGTCCCGCTCTCTGAGGACCAGACGACACTTATGCCAGCGACCTCCTCTCCAGGGCACGTTCCCTCCGCTGGCCAGAGGCTGCACCGGACCAGCCTGAGCCGTCGCAGATGAAGCTGAGGCGGCGTTGTTGTTGTCCGCGCCGTGGTGCAGCAGACCGAACGAGAAGCCGGAGAAGCCGTGGCTGCCGCTTAACTCGTCGTTGGATGAGCTGACGCTCACGCCCCCCTCCCTCACCAGCCTGCCCACCTTCCTTGGAGGTCCCATGGCAGCCGCGGCAGCGCTGCTCGGAGGCAGCGTGGAGGAGGTGGAGTGAGAGCCGGCGGCGGAGGGGGTGAGGACAGGGGGAGGGGATCGTGACAGTCTGAGCTTCTCCAGGCGATGACTCCACTTCTCCTTCTCGCCTCCTTCGCCGTTGCTCCGCCGGCGATCCCGGGCGGCCTCCGACAGAGACAGAGAGGTGGCGCTGCTAGAAGACGAGGGAGGCAGAGAGGAGGAGGAGGAGTGGGGGAGGGACAGGGGCATGGACAGAGAGACAGGCATGGAGGAGGTGGGGGTGGGAGGCTGTGTACCAGAGTTCCTCTTGGAGGTTGAACCCAAACTAGCGTCCTGCACACCCATGGTGTAGCTGTAGCTGGAGGGCAGCTGGCTCTGGGCCGAGTCACTGGAGGAGCTTCTCCAGTGCAGGATCCCCCGGACGCTCCCCCGCACACTGCGCCCCACACTCCGCAGCGAGAAGCGCTTCTTCAGTTTGTTTTTGGAGGAGTTGGGCGTGCTGTTACCTTTGGAGTCGGGCGGAGGAGTGACGGAGGATGAGGAAGGTGGAATCTGAGGAGTGTGGGAGGGGTCAGCACCGTCCACCTCTGTGGACTCTGCTTCCCGCTCTTCTGGCTCAACATCCTCCCCAACAGACGACACCCCGAGCCAGCTGTCCTCCTCTTCCTCGACCGGTGTCTCCCCGTTCCCAGGGGCAACCATGGCTCCTCTCTCTTCACGCCTCCCGTTGTTCCCTCCCACTGAGGAGCAGCATGACGATGAGGACGATGGCGGCAGGACGTGGCCGTGGGCGTACGAATCTTGAAACCTGTCCCCGCTGCGGTTCTCCAGCACCAGCCGTGTCGGTGCAGGCTTGGATAAAGTCCGTGTCATGTTAGTCGGGGGACACGGGAGAACGGCTCCCCCGGTTGCTGACAGGGGTGACACCGCCTCCTCTTCAAGGGAAGTAACATCTGACTGGGGAGCCCAGCTCACCATTTCGTCCCTGCCAGAAGCACAGCTCGGCGGGAGCGCCCCCTCCAGCTCACTCTGGAAGTGACGAACGAATCGGTCGGTGAAGCGCCGGCAGAAGGCAGCTGCTGAATCTGGTGAGTAGTGGGGGTTTTCCTGGAGGAAAGCCCGAAAGTGGCGTGCAAAGTCGCCGGCCGCAACGCGGGCGTGGAGCTCACAGAATTCGGTCCAGCTCAGGCAAGGTGAAGGGGAGGGCGTGGGGGTGTCTGAGAGGGAGGACGGGTGAGCCTGGGGTGGAGGGCTCACCAGAGGCGGGAGAGGAGGCGGCCGGGGGGACAGGGGGAGCAAAGACGGGGACGGTGGAGACGGAGATGGGGAGGGTGAGGGAGGTAAAGGGGAGGAGTTTGCCGCCCTCGGGCTGGGCGGGGTTAAAAGAGAGCCGTTCATCCTCCTGAAAGGATCAAATCACTTCAAACATACAACAGAAAGCTGAAGTGATTGCACAGCTGGGGTAACTGACAGGGGGCAAACACAGCACATTGGTCTAATAATTTACAAATGAGTGTGAACTGAAGTGTGGCGCTCAACCCCATCCAAAATGACAAGCTGAAGAGACAATGCACCAAACCCATGGGGTTTCAAAGAGCTCAAATAAAGGCTGAGCCGCTTGCTACATTATTTTGAGCAATTCAACACTTCAGCGTTTCAACGGGAAAATATGGGATTCAGCCAGTAAATGGAGGTAAGAGGAGGATTCACAAGGTCTGCCCCTTCTTCATCGTCTGTCATAGATCCAGAGGAGCGCGGCCACATCCTGTAAAAACACAAACTTTTACTTCAGTTTTAGTGAGAGGTGATAGTGTATATCACCATAACGTCTCTGGTTGAACCACAAAGATAAGATCTAACACACACACACACACACACACACACACACACACACACACACACACACACACACACACACTACGAGAGCTTGTGAGTAGAACAAATAATATGATCAGTTTCTAAAATACCAGGCATTATTATTATTATAGATATAAAGTAGTTCCAATGAGCTTCAAATCCACCAGAAGCCACAATACATTAAAATAGTTCTCACAAGTTTATGCATCAGTAATAAAAAATCTGTATTAATATTCCAATAATCTCATACACAAAAGTATAATATGAAGCTCCATAGAGTTTAATTAAATACAATACTTTTACTTAAGCTCAGTTTTTGAGGTTTTTAATACAGAACTTTTACTTATATACGTGTCAGGGTTTCTGCAGGTTCCCAAAGTTAAATTTAAGACTTTATAATACCTTTTTAATACCACATAGAATGAAATGTAATACCTGTTTTATGAAAATAACGTCCTAAGTTTGAAAGTATGACGTAAACCTTGTAAGAACGATGTGACTTAGAGTTATTTATTGCAACTTTTCAGTGCTCCCCAGTAGCATATAACACAACAACACAATCCACTGTCACAACAACCCCTTTCATTTATAGATTAGTTTAACATCTTGACATTTGATAACATTACTGCCAACAGAAGGTAAGAGAAATTACTACTGATTCATTTCATTATGAATTAATCTACTGATTATTTTCTCAACAAACTGACTGATTGTTTGGTTTATAAAAAATCTGAAAATACTGAACTGAAGCAGTGTTTGTTTTGTCTAAGCAACAGTGCAAAGCTTAAAATTCTACCAATTCTTCTACCACTACATATTTCAATAACCCTGTAAATGCAGGACTTTTACTTGTAATGCAGTATTTCTGCAGTGTGGTATTAGTACATTTACTTAGGTAAATAACCTGCATACTTCCTCCACCACTTCCCAGGAGATTAATGGTGTCAAACTACAACTAATGCACCTTAAATCAGAGGTTAGAGTCAGATAAACGTTAGATAAACTGGCCTCACTCTTTAGCTTGCTAACATGAACTAGCAATGTGAGTCTTGCTCATTCAGCTTTCTTTAAAGACGTGTAACGTTAGCGAGCTAACAATAGCTACCTGACGTCCACTTGCTAACGAGCTGCCATTCATCATCATCTTTATTTAGCACTGTTGATCTGATACATCTTATTTTGTGGTGTCTGTTGTAACCTGTGGCTGAGATGACCACATATTGAATCATCCGACAGCAGCTAACGCCAAAGATTCTTAGCGAGCTAGGCTAACCGTTAGCCACTTAGCTTGCTATTAATAAACCAGCTAGCTAGCTATCAATATTGCTTAAGCACCATGTTCTGTGTTTTCTGTACCTGTATATCACAGTCCAGTGCTTTCATCCGTGTCTTTGGGTAAAGCTGCCACACATTTCACCACTCTTTCATCACGGAATAATCATTTTCGTAAAGGTTGTTGTTGTTGCTAAATATGAATATTGCTATGCCTTGCCTGGACCCCGTTCTTCTCGCACTGGCCCGTTTCTCGCGATAGTTGGGAGGTCGGCGAGTGCAGCGTTGGTCGGTGGGTCCTCACAGCTGCCGTTAAAAACCGCTGGATTTTTGATGAGCGAGTCGTGACCGCCAACACCGACCGACCGATGGCGAATGGTGGGGAAGGAGAGGAGTCGTACTTCCACCCCTCCTCACAAACAAACAAACAAACAAACAAACAAACAAACAAACAAACAAACTAACAAACTAACAAACTAAACCAGTACTGGTCCATCACACCCCTCCATCCTGAGGGGGTGTCAGCTCAGTCAACCTGTACGGAAGGGGATTCGGGGCACATGTGAAAAAAAATTCAGAATACCAAAGTAATTACAATTAAAACATTTGAAAATGAAAAACGAAAAATAAATAAATAATAATGGAAAATTAAAAAAAATCATATACGGCCCTACTCCTCAGAATTCTGACTTTAAACCTGGAATTCTGATAAAACTTTAGGTTCAATAGGTGATGTGCCAGAAATTTTTTATTTATGATTTAAAGAGCGTGAGCGCCGACAGGGACTTCATGGTGCATTCACGTTCACCTGGTGAACTCAGAAATCTGATTTTAAATAGCCATGAAGGTTACTGAAGTTCTCTTTTTTTCCTCTTTTAAATACATAAGCTGTGTATCGGACTTACCATCATTATACCAACATTCAATAGTATCATTAACTGACCTTTAACGGATTTCTTTCTGTGTTTTGTAGATATCTACATGACATAAATCAACCCATGATCTTCCTGCATTGCACTTATAATATAGTCTTAGAGGCCACTCAGAGCTATCAACAAAACATGTCCCATTAACACACATTCAAACATACACTCACACACTGATGGATCAGCCATCAGGGACAGTTTGGGGTTCAGTGTCTTGCCAAATGACACCTGGACAGGCAGACTGGAGGAGCCCGGGATCAAACCACTAACCCTCTGAGAGTGGACTTCCTGGTCTATGACCCGCTCTCCAACAATGTTGTTTTTGTTAAATTTGTCACTTTAATCTAAGAACATCACCCCCCCACGCACGTTATTTTTTTCCTACAATGACCTTAATACGTCGTCATGGCAACCACATTTCAACCTCCAACATATTTACAAATACTGAATAATGTGGAAATTAGCTGCAATTCTCCATCACACCACATGATGGAGCTGATTAATCAGATTCATCATTGTGGGTTCAGCTGATTTCTGAGACAGAAAACAGTCCAGGGGGAGGAGGAGGAAGAAGAAGAGGAGCAGAAGGAGGAGGAGGAAGAGGAGCAGAGGGAGCAGGAGGAGGAGGAGGAGGAGGAGTAGCAGAAGGATGAGTCTCAGTGTGTGTGCAGACACTGTGCAGACGGACAGATCAGAGACACTGATGATGGTCTGTCAGGAAAATGATCAAATAAACTCAGGAACACCGTCTGAAATTCACAAGAGTAGGATATTTATTCTTGCAGCAAGGGAACAAGTTACACACAAAGAGTTTGCAGTGCAAATGTTTAAAGAATACAAAGTTCACACAGGTTTTATATCCAGAACATATGAGTGACCTCACATCCTTGCTGATATGAGAGTCACTCAATAGAGACTTGATTCATGCCTTATCATAAGAAATGTGTGGGTGCAGTAGCTGGGAAGAAGAGAGAAGGTCACTCGGCTCCTCTCTGATTATTCCTGTCTTGAAAACAAACACAACTTTATAAAAGGAAAAAAGTTCTTCTTTAGGATAATTATGTTTATCTAGTCATAAAGTATCATCATTTATCCAACAGTCTGTCAGGTCCAGAGGAACACACAGGGATGATGGTGGACTGGACTCTGTGTGTGACAGTGGAGCTGTTCTCAGATCAGTTCAGACTGCAGCACTGAGAGTCATCTCCACTTCTTCTGATTCCTCTGTCAGTCACTGCTGGATGAAGCTCTCCTCTCCACTCCACCTCCCAGTAACATGGTCCAATCAGAGCCTCTCTACACACCAGCTGCTGCTTCAACATCTGGATCATCAGGACACACACACACACACACACACACACACACACAGACACACACACACACACACACAGACACACACAGACACACACACACACACACACACACACACACACACACACACACACACACACACACACACACACACACACACACACACACACACACACACACACACACACACTCCTCTTCACCACCTCCACCTGTTGAGAGAAGAAGGGACAGGGGAGATGAATCAGTGTTTACAGAGACGTCATCAGTGGACTTCAGTCTGTTCAGTCAGATGTGCAGCAGCTGTTAGGCCGTAGCTCTCCTCTCAGCTCTCATTGTTAAGGTTTGGAGTGAACACTGAGCTGGAGGCTCACTAACCTGCAGAGACTTTTAGCATGCAAGGTCTGTCACTCTGCACATTTGCCCTCAGTCTCACAGTGGAAACAACTGCTGAGAGTCATGAAGGTTCAATCACTGCTCAAAGGTCAGTGATGCATTCACTGTCCTGACATTTAAACAACAGAGTCTCTTGTGTGTTGATTGACATCTGATCGTTCCTCACATATTCACCTGACAGATACAACATCGGAGGCTGTCACTGAAAACATCTGGCAGAGGGACAGAATATACAGATGTTTGCTCACTGGATTCAAAGCAGAGCTTCTGGTCTGTATAAGAAGATCACATGGTTTAAGAGTGTAATGTGCTTCTTGTGAATAGAGCACACAGTGACTGTCAGACATCAGACTGAATCTCAGAACTTGTGACATGAATCAAACTCATAGTCTGTGAGTTGTGAAGATGAGAGTAACAAACTGTCCTCAGATCAGATGTGACAGATTTTTTTTTTTTTTTTTTTTTTTTTTTTTTTTTGATGAAGATGGACAGTGTCTCTGTTGCTTCTGTGAGGCTGTCAGCTGTTAATCAGCTTCATCTTTCCTGTAGACATCAAGCTCAACAACGAAACAGTCGTCTACATCCACTCAGACACATATCACAAACGAGCTTCTGGCTGCTCCTGATTGGCGACTGTTCTCTCTCTCTGTCTTTCTGTCCAATCCTGACAAGCTGTCACCCGTTCTCTCTCTCACAGCGTTTCATGAGGGACAGCAGCTTACTGTGAGAAGGTCGGAGGTTTACAGGAAAAACACTGGCTCGTTGTTGCTAAGATACTGGTGTGTGAGTGACAGAGAGCTGATGGAAGCAGCAAGGACATGACTGCCCTTTACTGAACCCAGAGTCTCCAGGTGACAAGTCTGGACTTCTCCAGAAAACCACACAGAACCCTTCACTCCTAGGAATGCCTGCAGGCTGTTGTAGCTCAGGTTCAGGTGTATGTCAGGTGGGAGGGGTTTTGGCACTTCAGATGCTGAGCCAATGAGAAAACAGCTGATCTTTACCAAACTGCAGCTCCATCAATCTGAAAAAGAATAAAGAAGTGCGAATAACACAGCTGATTTATGGAAGACTTTGGAAATGGTTCACAGAAACTACTACTGCTCCTAACAATAATAATCATGACACATTTCTATTGTCGGCTTTCTTTCCAAACAATTCACAGACCCCAAACTTCTTTACTAAACAACAAGATTTTGCAGGTTTAATTGTGGAGTGAAACATGTGAAACCAAACAGTGTGGTGCTTTTTCTTCTTTCACACATCAACAAAGTCAATATTTCACTTGTTAGAAAAATACAAACATGTTCACTTTTTTAACACCATTTAATTCATGCAATGAGAAAAGAAGAGTTTTTTCTTCATAACTTGAATTTCAGGTGTCTTTTGTAGGCGAGATAGTTAGTTTCTGAGGAACTTTGTATGTTGTTGTGATAGAAATGGATATGGACTTTTTTTAGAGGACGTCACATCTGGACTTTCCTACAGTGTAAAATTTAGAAAACATGAGTCCTGCTGACTGAGAGAAAATTACCAGTGTGTGAGTTTCTGAAGGTTGAACTGAGTGAGAGAGAGATATTGCATGGACACTTGATTGAAATGAGCTGAAACGTGGAAAGGAAATCATTGTGAGAAAGAACAATTCGGAAACATGAGATCGATACCAACTAGTTCTAAAGATCTCAGTCATGGAGCTTCATTCAAAATCAAATTGCAGAGGTTCTGTGTGAAGATAATCAGCTTCAGTTGTGGATTAACGATATAGAATCTACAGACAGTTAACAGTCAGTGACTGACCAGAGTCTCCAGTCTACAGTCTGGACTCTCCAGAAACGCACACAGACCCTTCAACTCCGAATTCTGCAGCTTTGTTGTTAGTCAGGTCCAGGTGTTTTCAGGTTGGAGGGGCTTGGACTATCAGAAGCTGAGGCCAGAGAAGAACAGCTGATCTCTGACAGAACTGCATGCGTCCATCATCTGAATAAGTATATAAAGATAGATAAAATCATTGATATATGGCATCAGTTTTTGTCCTAAATCAATGATCTCTGTCCTTTAAAATGAGCAGCGAGGGGACGTTTGTCCTTCTGTTTGTTTGGGATCATCATCATGTCAGCCTTCTAACACAACATAGCATCCACCATGTCAGACAACATTTCATGACACGCTCTCTATATGTTCAGAGCGAGGGGCTGATTACATCAGCTGCGCTGATCCTCAGAACAGTCTGTATTCAATACAGTGGAATCCAGTAGAGATCAGGACCTGTTTGGACTATAAAACTGACGACACCAGTGTTGAATTCATTGAATGGCACTGGATCAAACTTTAAGATCCGTCCTGATCCAGGATAAATAGTCTTTCCTTGGTCCTGGTCTCTGTCTGCACGATCAGGCGTTGATCGGAGGAAAACAAGAGAGAGAGTAAAGTTCACGGACAAGTTAAATCGCGTGGGGAACACAAATCTGGTTTATTCATCACAAATTAAGCAGGGAAGATTTAATGGGAAAAGAGCTTTTTTGGAAGATGGCTCATCAGGAACTCTGTTGTCAAACAACAGAAAAAGATGATAATGAAGATGAATGAATTGGAACCTTTCAACGGACTGCACAC